CGACAGTCAAAGCCGCCAAAACGGAGCATATTTCTCTGTTAATCTCTAAAAACAGCCATAAACCTCAGGTTATTTTTAATGTCCTCAACTCGATCATTAATCCTTGTGATGCTTCTCCAATTGTGCCATCGACTACCCTCTGCGATACATTTCTTACATTTTTTATCGAAAAAGTATCTGCGCTTAGCCTAGCCCATACTAATGCTACCCCAGATTCTGCTCCTTTTCTGTGCCCTGCTGTCCTCGACCACTTTGAGCCTGTATCCCTCTCTTCTCTCTCTCGGATGTAGTCAAGCATCTGCGGCCGACAAACTGCACCTCAGACAGCATTCCCTCTCGCTTCCTTAGAGATGTTTTTGAATCAGTTGGAGCAAGTGTTTTATTGCTTGTAAACACCTCTCTTAGCTCAGGATGTGTCCCAGCTGGCTTCAAATATGCCGTGGTTAAGCCACTACTTAAAAAGAAAAATCTCGACCCTTCCATTCTCGCTACCTTTTTTATCTAAAGCCCTGGAGCGAGTAGTCTACGTCCAGCTGCAGTCGTTTTTAACCACACATGGCATCCATGAAAAGTTTCAGTCTGGCTTCAAACCTATGCACAGTACTGAAACAGCACTTTTAAGAGTTTTTAATGATCTGCTACTAGCCGCCGACTCAGGTAGCTCAGCTGTCTTGGTGCTGTTGGACCTGACAGCTGCCTTCAACACTGTGGACCATAGCATCCTGTTGTCACGGCTTGGACAGTCCGCAGGCATCACAGGCTCTGCCCTTGCATGGTTCAGGTCCTACCTGACAGACCGTAGCCTCTCAGTGCAGTTGGTTGCCTTCTCCTTTGCCAAAGCCCCTCTTCCCTGTGGGGTTCACCAAGGCTCGATTCTGGGCCCCATCCTTTTTCTACTGTACATACTGCCCCTAGGCTCAATTCTCACAAAACACAAAACACAACATCCCCTTCCATTGTTACGCTGACGATGTACAGATCTATCTGCCTCTCAATCAAAATGCCAACTCACTACAGCAGTTGATGGACTGCTTAACAGAGATTAAATCCTGGCTGAGCCAAAACTTCCTCACCCTCAACGAGAGCAAGACCAAGGTCATCTTTTTTGGACCCCGACCTCCAGCCTCTCCGGTTGATATTCTGGGCTCCCTCAGTAAAAACATCCTGCCCTCTGTCATGAACCTTGGAGTGACCTTCAATAGCGCTTTTAAATTTGATAAGCAGGTCAGCACCGTAGTCAAGACCTGCTTTTTTAAAATACGACTATTGATTAAGACCAAGTCGTTTTTTATCTTTTAAAGACCTAGAAAGGGTTATTAATGCCTTTGTTACCTCGAGACTGGATTACTGCAATGCTCTGTATGTGGGTATGGACCAGGCCTCAATTAAACGCCTGCAGCTAGTGCAGAACGCAGCTGCACGTCTTCTAACGGGCCATAAAAAGCGTGACCACATCACCCCAATTCTGGCCTCATTGCACTGGCTTCCAGTTCGGTTCAGAACAGATTTTAAAATCCTTTTATTTGTTTTCAAAGCCCTAAATGGGCTGGCTCCGGCCTATGTAGCCGAACTCCTCCATCGCTACACCCCAGGCAGAGCCTTAAGGTCGGCTGACCAGCTGCTGCTGATAGTGCCTAAGACCAGGCTCAAAACCTGAGGGTTCCAAGCATTCACAGCAGCGGGCTCCAGGCTCTGGAACATTTTGCCCATCCATGTGAGGTCGGCCCAGACCCTGGGGGTTTTTAAATCAACACTTAAAACTCACTTTTTCTCTCTGGCCTTCTAGGCTTCTCTTATTAAGAATAACTTTTATCCAAGACCTTTTCCCTCTCTAACCTCTCGAGGTTTTATTAGAGGGAAACGGTTTGTAGAGTGGCTTAGACAGGCCGGGGAGTGTTACGATTCGTAGACACAGCGTACCTCCCTATCTCTCATCAATTTCCAACTAAGGCTCCAGTGGGGACCTTGTTCCCTGAGTGTGCCTCTCCACCTATGTTTCTTACTCTCTTACTTGCTACCCTTTGCCCTCAAACTATTCTAAGGGAGTGCTTGTTCTTCCGTCTGTCTGTCTGTCTGTGTCTGTGTATTCTCTTGTTCCGATTAACCCAGCCACATTTTTTCTTGTTTTGTGTCTATATCTACGCCGGGATCCGGAGTCGAGGCTGATCTTCTTGCTGTGGTCCTGTGTCCTGGATCCTCTATCCTGAGTTCTGGATTAAGTCGTGGACTTCGGGTCGTGGCTAAACCTGTCTCTGCGGTCCTGCCTGGGTCTCGTCATGCTGCCTCCCTGAAGGCTCCCACAGGATTGTAGTTGACATCTTCGTAGATTCATCTTCTTATTACAGACACATGCATTTCCAAACATTTGGTCTACCTATGCTGTAAAATGTATTATCTCTTCGATTTACACACGGCATCTATTGCACGTCTGTCCGTCCTGGGAGAGGGATCCCTCCTCTGTTGCTCTCCCTGAGGTTTCTCCCATTTTTTCCCTTTAAACTGTGGGGTTTTCTCCGGAAGTTTTTCATTGTACGATGTGAGGGTCTTAGGATAGAGGGTGTCGTTTTTTCTCATACTGATATTCTGAACAATATGTGCTTATTGTATTAGCTGTAAAGTGTCTCTACTGTAGGCTATTTTTATTATATGTACAGCACTTTGGCTCGACCAAAAATCGTTTATAAATGTGCTATATAAATAAAACTTGATTTGATAACAATAACTGGACTTCTTTTTGAATATCATTTTCTACTGTGCAGTAGTTTTTTTTTCTTTAATACAATGCTATTTTGGATTTAACAACATTCTCATCATTGTTGATGAGGGTTAAATTGTCACTGTAGATATTACCACCAAGACTGTGTTGGCTTAATCTGTTAATCTCTTGCCATCAGGGGTGCGCTGTGCTGGTTTAAGGTTCCTTTAGGCATCACTAAGTGCTTTTTTTATTCTATGATAAATACTTTATGTCTCTGCTAACTTGTGGGGGACTTAAATATAACTACAGCCACTTAATATATTGAGGGACTGTACTAACTTTTGATATTTGTTTGGCTCTGGCAATTTATTTTAACCAAGGCAGGAGACATGCATAAAGACCCGCAGGTGAGTCTAGGAAAGCTTTACACCTAGTGCTTTTCTTCATTGACATTTCAGAAATTCATGAACTGAATAACTCAGCTCCGTAGAGCACGTCTACATTACTTTATGACACAGGTGTGTGTGGGGAGAGTAAGAGTATGAAAAGTTTCAAGAACTCTCCCACACACTGTCCTACCTGCAAAAATGTGTGCGTGTTTGCCTTCAAATGGATTAGCAATGAAACTTTTCAAACACATTAATTAAAAACGATTTTCTTTTTTTATACCCATGATGATCTTAAAGTTGTTTCGAAACTGAACCATTCTATACTTTATTTGTTGTTAATCTGAAGATATTCTTCTTCTTTTTTTCTTTCTCATTTGTTCATATAGAAGTTTCAGACGTTCAACAACACAATTCAATACTGCTATTGTTTGGGTAAAATTCAGTTTTTATTAGTTTATCTCATTCTGCACTATACAGTTTGTCTGGAGGGCTTAAGAAATTCTCTACATTATTACACACAAACAATTGTCTGTCTTCCCATGTGTGGAGAAATTGTCTATTTACTAATTAATATTTAAGCTAAACATCTTTTGGTTGCTAGACTCATTTGACATTGAAGCTCCAAGCACAATGTAGAACTTTTTTTTATCATAACACAATCTCAACTTAAATCAGTAAATCTAAGATAAAGTGAAGCATTGTTGGAACAGCTGGTCCACAAGGATGTGGACCACTATCTTTGTTGAATTTGTCAGTCATTTGAATGTGAAAACAGTCATCAAATATGAAAGCATAGGAATATCCTTAAAAATAATGACATTTTTCGTGAGGCAACACCCTTAAGAATCAACGGCACAGCACAAAGAAAAGCAACTGTGAACCACATTTTCTGAATAGATAAAATATGTTGCATGTCATTTGGACAGCAGAAGGCCTTCATTCTATATACATTTGTTTCCTCTTCAGTCATTTGTTTCCTCCTGTGGCACAACATAACAACACTATACCTTTCCTCTGGGTTTTTGAGGCCCCAGTATTCATAAACTAAATATGTGAAGTCCACCACAATATAATAGTCAAAGCTGGAATGTTTCTTTACTATTGAATAAAAACACAATAATATATGATATAATACACAGTATGACCCACACAAACCTCGTAATGGTAACATCCAATGTTTTATTGGTTAGACGTGTGACGACTCCAAATAGGAGACAGCAAGGCCATCTAGTGGTTTGTATTGGAAAACAACCAGTCTCTTTTTCTTTTTTCTTTGAATGCTTAAACCTGACGTAAGGGAGACGTGTATTCATTCAGAGCTAATCGAACACCTGTTGCTCATTGCCTGTTCCTCGTTAGCCCAGACACAGCATGGCAACTGCCCCGAGATAGGACACTTCAAATACAAATGTAATGGCCAAAAAGAAAAACACTTATTAAGTGTGTTCGGACAGTGTAAACAAGTGCCTTCTAATAATTAATTCCTCTAGTTGTGCGTACATTATATAGTTATTATTAACCCTCGTGGGCGAGTAGCCTAGTTATTTTATTTAAAAACGTGGCCGAATTCTTAATTTGTGTTATTCCTGTGGCAGTGTTTAATATCGGTACTGGTCAATCCGGTGGAACACAATCTTGTCATGAGATAAAATAACATAACATATTTGGATCCAGCAACTCCAAGAAAGGACTTCTACGCAAACATAGCACCTTCTGGAAAATAACATCACCTATATGCAGGCGTTAAAACCTCTGATGGGAATTTGTACCAGATAGACTGACACCTGCAGCGCAGTCGCAACTCCACTGACAGACTCGGAGTGGAGATGCTCGCAGAGGCTGTCCAGAGCTCACGGAGCAGCGGCTTTATTATCACTGACGGTGCAGGCTGCAATGCACTGCTCACAGGACGACAACATTATATTTTGCTGTAAAGGATTAAACTGCTCAATTGGATCAATCTCAATTTGTTGCAGTTGCATCCCTCTTGTGAAGCAGGAACTTGGTAACACTTTTTAACTTGGATATACTTTGAATTACCAATGGATTTCTTAAACGATTCTTTTTTTCCCCTCGGAGACACGAATTCAACTACAACAACAGGTAGGTCAAGTAACCAGAGCCCCGTTATATAATCCAATTAATATCGTTACATACGTTGTTAAGAAACATAACTGCACGTGAATAAAACAGCAAATAAATATAAATGGTAGGCTACATCAGTTATTTTTCTCAACTTTATTTTACTTATACCTCTCCAATTTACCTTAATTCCTTTTGAACTCATACACGATTGTAGTGTATATTCAGACTGGAGTTGATTCCATTCACAGTCTAATATGTCTGATGAGAAATATGAATGCCTTAATCTCATCAATTTGTCACTGCGTGAAATATCTAGAATGTGTACTTAATCAATACACATATTTTAGTGATAGGAAATGGAAAAAATGCACATCAAGTCACTGAGGTTCTGAAAACATTTCTTTACACATTTCTGTGACTTTTTGGGTTTCAAATAAAATCACATAACATATCTATGGCAACCTATTTAAGGTTTATATACAATTGGTAAGACCTCTGTCCCCATCATCTTCTCACACACATGTATATGACAGAAATCTTTCCACACTGAAATGATCCAGCAGCCTAAATGCAAGGAATATATTAACTGATAGGTCCACGTCATAATCCACCAAAAAACAAGTAATGATACTTTGCTCTTGCTAATTGTAATATGAAACATTGGAAATATAAATAACTGTATTACACACTGTACAATGCAAGTTTTCATATGCTTTATTTAACAGCTGCTCCCTCCTCTTCTTGTCTAAAGCTGTAGATGGGTCCCTACACTGCAGCGCCATCCTCCCTGTCATCTTCGGCATCATCTGCTTTCTAGGCATCATGGGGAACTGTATTGTGATCTACACCATCATGAAGAAGACCAAGTGTCGTGCCAAGCAAACGGTTCCAGATATCTTTATCTTAAACTTATCAATTGTTGATCTCCTGTTTCTCCTTGGGATGCCATTCCTCATCCACCAGCTGCTGGGCAACGGCACCTGGCACTTTGGAGCTGCGATGTGCACGGTCATCACAGCGCTTGACTCCAATAGCCAGATTGTCAGTACTTACATCCTCACTGCAATGACTCTTGACCGTTACTTGGCTACAGTCCATCCCATCCGCTTCAACTACATCCGCACACCTTTTGTGGCAGCGCTGGTCATTGGTCTTGTGTGGGCTTTGTCCTTACTCACTATCATCCCGGTGTGGATGTATGCAGGCCTGATGCCTCTCCCGGATGGCCTGGTGGCCTGTGCTCTCCTTCTGCCTGACCCAGTCACTAGCATATACTGGTTTACACTTTATCAGTTCTTCTTGGCATTTGCTATACCTTTGGCCATCATCTGCCTGGTGTTCTTCAAAATCCTCCAGCACATGTCCGCCAGTGTGGCTCCACTGCCTCCACGGAGTTTGAGGGTGCGCACCAGGAAGGTGACACGGATGGCAGTGGCCATCTGCCTAGCCTTCTTCGTCTGCTGGGCCCCTTACTACATCATTCAGCTGATCCACCTAGGAGTGAAGAAGCCAAGCGTAGCTTTCTCCTATGCCTACAACATAGCCATTAGCATGGGATACGCTAACAGTTGCATCAACCCATTCCTCTTCATTATTCTCAGTGAGACCTTCAAGAGGCAGTTTCTCAGGGCTGTACGCCCAGTAAATAGAAAGTTCCGTGTACACCCGAGTACCACAGATGGCGCCAGTGTGAGTGTGAGAATGATACCCGAAGGGGCTCACCAGGATCCACCCTCTGGGGAGATGCCACAGTCCAACGAGGCCCCACAATGAATCAAATCAAAAATAATTTCACCATGTATCACTGTGGATCTGTGCAAGTCTCAAGCACGACATATGGGACATTAGTACAAGTACTCATATTTCTGAACAGTAATGTCTGCACATCAACTCCAATCACCATTTTATTAAAAAAGAAAAAGTTGTGTTATTTTTTTTGCCTGAATAAAAATGTTCTTTCCCATCATTGATAATCATGCAAAGGACCATTTCACTGATCCGACTGTATGCAAAGCAACATTAATCTGCATTTACTGGACATCTTTCAGCCCGTCTCTCAACAGAAAGTTGGCAATATGATCATTTGAATTCCACATGGTTATGTTATCTTCCTCCAGGCCAAATCCCCTCTGCTCTGCCTTGACCATGATGCAGTGAACTTTTAACCACAACATTTTCCTTCAGATTGGATCATCATCAGTTCAAAACGTTTCTAATGACTACACCTAAATACCAAGGTCTCTTCCGGCCTGTCGTCAAAACTTCAATGCTGATTTATTGTCACTGCATGTGTCAGGGTTGCACATGCAGTTATAGTCTCTTTATGCCACATAAAAAAAGAAACTATGTGGTAACAAGTGGAGTAAATACTTAATTACATACTGTCCATTAACACATCATTTACAACACATAAGTCACTTTTAATATTTGACATGTCTGTTGTTCAGAAACTTTAATATAAAAGGTTATTCATATCAATCTGCACATTTATATTATATTACTGAGTGCATCCATGAAGATTAACAAGAAGCTGTTTGCAGACAGTGCTTTATTTGACTGAATTAATGGACATTCTTGTTCTTGTGTCCTTCTGTGGTTTTCTGACCAAACATCTTACCTTTGAAGAACAGAATAAAGAAGGAGTCTGAACCTAATGCTTTGAATCATAAGTATCTAAAGACTGGAATACAGATTAGACATTACTTAGCAGAGAATAGTTCACTATGGAGACCATTATATATCAACCCATTCGCAGCAGAACTGAGGTATGTTGTAAAAAGATTTTACATTGCTTTTCTCCTCTTTTGTATGATGCCTTTCAACCAGATGACATTTCACTATAGAAACATTGCTGAGGAGGTAACATGAACTACGTAACTTCAAAATGAGCTTTTAACCAAATACATGTTTTTTGTTGTTGTTGTTTAAAGCAAGAAACATATGAAAGACACAAATTGGTAAACAGAATTCACCTAAGGCCTACCGATGTGAAAAACAAAGCATACGTGACTTTTGGTTCTGTAACTATCTTTTTCAATATACATTTGCTGTGGATGTTTTATGTTTTTGCTTTGCATGTCTGTTTGCTTATTTGTCTGTTATGAAGATATGCTAAACAAGTACCACCATTTGGCAAATTATAGTCTAGTTTGATGACAATATTCAAATATATCCATCCAACTCTTGCATTAGCTTTGATAGCTTGTTTTTGTTTGTCAGTTTCCTTCAGTAATTCCACAACAAACTGTCACATTGGAACAATGCTTGTAAATATGACTCACCACACTCAGCATGTGTAAAATAAGAGATTGTAGACATCTTTACAAACCCAAAGAGGAAGATAAATAAAATGTTGTTTTTTTCTAGTTCATCTGATAACATTCAACAGTTGTGATTCCTGCTGAGGAACCTCTTGAATAAAATGAAGTGATGTTTTGCCAAGCTGTGACACTGCATTTTCAGTATCAATTCACTCCGAAATGTAAAGCCATAAATATGCCGCATTGGCTTTAGATGAGCTGAAATGTCAAATCTAATAAAGAGTGCCACTTTGTCTCTGAACTGTTGTTAATGTTGTTGTACTGATTATTACTGCTTATTTATATTTTAACATGTTGAATAATGATGGTGAAAATATACTTTATGTTGGAGAATGGTTGCGAATGTAAATATAAAATATATCGATCATGGAATATGAAGCTCAGGGTTTGTCAACCTTCTCGGGCCTGAAAGCCACTTTTTACACAATATTTGTTTTTCTCACCTGTTGGATCCAAGGATGAGAAGCTCTGGGGGCAGTGGCGGCTGGTGGAAAATATTTTTGGTGGGGCTTTTGATATAGTGAGTAAAAAAATTTTTTTTGGAAGAAATGACCCCTTAAATTAGGACTTCTGGTGATGTAGGCTAATGGCGCGTTTCCAGTGCAGCGCGGAGCTCGCTTTAATACTGCGTTCAGACCGGACGCGATGCGAATATTCGCTTCGCTCTAAACGCTCCTATCGCATCGCTCTAGTCGCTCGAGTTTCACCGCGGCTGCCAGCTGTGTTTACTCGCATCATTCAAACAAGACGCGCTGGCTCGGGAGCTACAACTACAACAAAATGAACATATTTTACCGTGATTAAATTGTAATACACGTTTCTAAATGATGCCAACGTAACAACATAATAAAAACCATGAATTAATGCTTTGACAAGTCTGCAGACAGACGGCAGGCGAAAAACCTTTTAGAATGCTTGTTTTCTGAATGGAGCTTGGCTAAGCTAACGTTATATATGCTCCCACCGTCCACACTCACAACAACGGCCTATACAGACATACATAAACCAGCGACTGTATTCTCCATGACACAGACAGTCTGTGGTTTGTACTTGTTTAACTTTTGTCTAGTTTCTGAACAGATCGTATCTGTCCCCGGCTGTTTGAAGAGCAAGCATGGGAAACAAAAGATAGCATTTACCTGTTTGCATCGTTTGCATCCAGCTAGCCTCGTTGATACGTTTTGTCTTTTTCACGAGCTTGCTGTGATATATACAAATCGGGTTGGTCCGGTCCAAGGTCTTTAAGTATCAATTTATCTCCCAAACTTCTCCTTTGGAAAGGATTGGAGAGTAGCTCTTGCACGGAATTGGGTGCGGACCGAGGTCCGGCGACTCCACCTGCACACCATTCTAAATACTGCGTCACCTTGGTCACTCACGAGTCTAAAAAACAACTCACGTCACGTAAGCAACGTGGGCGCCAACGTGAGCGCCCTCGTGACCAAAATATTTGACGGCGCTGATTGGCTGAAATTATGTTTCGGCGGCACAGTTTACTATTGAGACTTTTGCAACGTGCTGGTTGCTGCTGTTTGTCTCGGGGGCTCCGCCCGGTAATGATAAACTAATGCCATGGGCAAGGCCAGGCAGGAAACATGTGACTAATCAGTAACTTTAGTCATCGTAACACAATTTTAAACGAGATTTTATTGTAGATTATACATTTTACTGATACCAATTGTATGATATGTACCTTGTTCATTAAAAATAAAAAAATAAAATATATATTAAAAAAAAAAATGTTGAATGTGGGAAGAGGTGGGGCGGCGCCCCTAGCGCCCCTATGGGCCGGCCGCCACTGTCTGGGGGGTATACTACGAAGCAGGATTTTCGCTTAGCCGGCTAAATTCAGGGGAAACTCCGGCTTTCCGGTCCTACAAAGCTGGTTCTCTTTTTAGCAGGCTCGATCTCCATGGTAACTTATGCTTAGCGGCTAACCTGGTCGGGACCAGCGGCCAGGGTTGGATTGTAACGGAATACATGTAACGGCGTTACGTAATCAGAATACAAAAATCAAGTAACTGTATTCAGCTCGCGTTACATTTGAAAAACGAGTAATCTGATTACAGTTACTTTCGTAAACCTGAAGTGAATACATTTTGGATTACTTATTGGAATTATTGGTGGAAAGATTTCCTCACAACATTTAATATTCATTACTAAAGGTACAGCCGAATCATCACAGCCCACAAAACCTTTTACCGCCGCAGATGGACCAAAAAAGCGTTTGAAAAAAAATCGCGGGTCCGCTCAGTGAAACAATAACAGCGAAACATGGAGGAACACAAGTCTGCGTTTAAATCGGGTGTGTGTGGTTAAAACACATCAGCCTGCGGTCGCTCTTTCTTTAGCCTTACTAATGATTATTTCTGAAGGTAAACACAGTGAAGGCGGTGTGTGAAAGGCACTGCGTGCTCGTCTTCTCAGAGGCTGAGTTAACCCTCCCGCTGCCTCCTGGTGCTGCAGAGATTTCATGAAGTGAAGGAGGTGTTCCTTCTATAAAACAGCTGCGGGCAGCAGATACTGTGAGAGTCACGGACATGAATTCATAGATCAAGGCAGACTGGTGCACACACTTGCCAATCCGGTGCTTAAACAAATATAGCTCCACACCCCTGGCCGTAATGTCCTTAAAATGAAGTCCGAGTTTGACATTTTAATTCATGTCCTGCCAACACTGGCAGGACAGAAGGCGACACGCTCGTTCTAAACCGTGTCCCTCACTCCTCACATCCCAAACTGCATCCCCAAAAAGTTAATTATGTTGTTACATCGTTTCAGATGTTGTGTTTCAGTTGTGCTCTTGATAAGCCATTAAAACAGTAAAAACACATTCCTTCTGCTTTTTGTGTCTCCTGTACACCAAACATACCCATCTGTGATGGAAAAAGAAAGTAATCCAAAAGTAATCTAAAAGTAATCTGATTACGTTACTTTTTTAAGACACGTAACTGTAACTGTATTCGGATTACTTTCAGAGCCATGTAATCAGTAATCAGTAACTGATTACATTTACAAAGTAACCCTCCCAACCCTGCCAGCGGCCTATACTACGAAGCTGGTTCAACCTAACCTGGATATGCTTGAGTTAGCCGGTTGCCCTAATCCAAAACATACGCGCTCTCGCTAAACTGTACTACGACGCTGGTTATCAAGTGGATCGCTCAAGCCAGCCGTGTCCTATCTAGTTAGGTGCGCGTTCACATGAAAGGGGTGGTATTTGGAGCATTCCACCAATCACAAACATGGAGAAGCGTATCCTACTGACAGCGCAGCGTCATACTTCCTGAATGAAAAGTTAACTTTAATACTAGTCAAAAATGAAGAAGTTAAACTTTAAACATCCATGACTTAAACACTTTATCCAGGATAAAAGCCACATAGTCTGCACCTGCAAGGTGAATACAGCTGGCAAAAGAAAAAGTGTTTGAATGCGTACATTAACAGGTTTATGATATCACTGCCCCTATAAGACACGATCTGACTTTCATTACATTTGTCTCGAGTGTTTTGTCAACTTAATGTGTTGCTTAAAATAATACTTCTGCATACAGTATGTGACACTGTGAGTGTTGCACGGCCAGATACGGCTCAGCTGACTCAGATAAGAAAATATATGATACATTAAGTGATATGCCGCGGACTGTAGGCTACTTAATGTTACTCTGATCCGGTTACTTGTGTTGTGGCAGATATTTAAGTAAGCTTTCTTAACGCTAATGTTATAATAGTCAGATTGCTCTGAAGATGGGAGGTGATATTCTATTAATGTTCACGTTCACACAGTCGGTGATTTTTGCCGGCCGTCTTTCCTGCGACGGCAGCTTTTCTGTATCTCCTTTCTCCTGCTGATGTCAGTTCTTCTGCAAATGTTTTGAGAAGGAATGCAGAGATGTCATCTGGCCCTGTGGCCTTCTTAGTACAGGTGTGTTTGAAAAGTGATTGGATCTTTTTAAAGGGTCAATCAGCACCCTTTCATCCTGGTCAGTAGCAGAGATTGTCTCTAAGATGTCTGTACATTCAGAGGAGAAGTCCTGGGTTTCAAATCTCATGTAAAAGTCATTCAGTTCATTTGCTTTTTGCAGGTCATCAGAGGTACAGAGTTTTGGAATCATATTTGTGATTGCCTTCATAGTGTCCCAAAGTTCCTTGGAGTTCATTGTATAAAAGTTCTGTTCAATAATTTCCTTATGTCTCCTTCTAGCTTCTCTGAGCATGTGATTAAGCTCCTTTTGCACACATTTCAGTCGCGTTTTATCCCGGTTTTTTAAAAGGTATATTTTTACGATTTATGCAGTCCTTAACCTCTTTCGTTATGTATGGTTTGTTGTTGGGGTACACAGTTATTTCTTTCTGAGGTATCACATTGTCAACACAGAATTGTATATAGTCAGTTACCGTTTCAGTAGCATTATCCACGTCCATCTCATGAAAGATACTCCACTCAGTAGAAAGAAAACATCCTTTAAGAGACTCTATGCTGTCACTAGTCCAAACCTTTACAGTCTTGGTCTGTGGTTTACTGCGCTTGAGAACCGTTTTGTAGGTAGGCCTAGGTATTAGATCAGTGTTTCTCAAACTTGTTCATACCAAGGACCACTTAACCAATAAAAAAACACTCGCGGACCACCTAACTCCACAAATATCCCAAAACACATCGTTTTTCTAGAACAGATTATAAATCGCCTGAAAATTGTACAAACAAGTGGCAACATGTGTGACGAAGGTGTTGCCCTGGGCTTTATCATGCAATAGAAAGTGAAACTTAAGCTCGTTCCATTGTGGAGATATTCCCGCGAGAGTGCGTAAAACTTAAATGTATTTATTTATTTCAAATGTGAAATGTTACCAATATACTCACGGACCACTAGGGGGCGCTCACGGACCACCAGTGGTCCGCGGACCACACTTTGAGAAGCACTGATTGGTCCGAGTTGGAAAGCGGGGGTTTGGCTTTACTCACATATGCGTTGTTCACATATCCGTAACATTTGTTTAGAATGTATAGTTTCAATCAGCTTCCAACGGTTTACTATTCACTACAACCCACATAACCTAAGCTCCTAATTTTCTACTGGACATTGACCTCAGTTTGATCTGAGCCGGGCAACACCAGTCACACTGACACATCTGCATGCAGGTCTGTGTTTACTAGCAAAAGGTGCACCCAAGGAGACAGAGACGCTATTTTTTACAGAT